CAAAAAGAAAGTGCAGCTTTATGGTTTCATGGACAAAAGAATTTCTGTGGCTGCAATATGACGAGCTAAATAACCAGGGCTGCACATAAGTGGTCCGCAGGTGCGCATTCGCTGTCAAAATAAAAAACACGTACAAGGGTTAGGGTTAAATTTAAAAACTGTACTTTTGAGTTAAAATATATATTTATAATTTTAATAAATGACAAATTAAGAAGGCATGAACATTTTTTTTGTATCGAAAAAATATCGAACCGTGACACCAAAGTATCGAACCGAACCGAACCGTGAATTTTGTGTATCGTTGCACCCCTAATATATATATATATATATACTGCATTTAAAGACCCTGGCACCTGAGTAGTTGTTCTAAGGAAGACATTTTCCACTGTGTGGTTCAAGTTATTCAATTCATTCTCTCCTAAATTACACAAGTGAGCAACATTTTAGCCTTGTTTGCTCTTCTGTGAACAAAGGCTGTTCATTTTCTCCTCCACGATGTTCTTGGTTGTGTCTCTCTGCTTCATAATTTATGAGTCCACACAGCAAATGATAAGCCACACATACTGAACAATTACACCTAGAGGGATGTCTGTATGAGAGAGAGTAGTAGTAGTAATTACTGGTAAAGGCATTTGCAGTTTACATATCACATCACATTTGTCATAATAAATGTTGTGAGCTTGGACTGTCTAGTTAAATACAGGCTTTTCTGCAACACGTGTAAAGCTTTTCTTTTTTCCAGTTTAAAAACATGCAGGTCAGTACATTTGTTGACACTTTTCTCTATTGACAGTGAAACCAATGGCAGTAACATGCAATGCATAGCGTGTTTGCGGAATATGATAATATCAAACCAGACAAGTCAACTGATAATCATCTCATTGAAGATTCACATCATTACACTGATTCTTGTCAATTTCAGGTTAAATTATTGTCTGCTGTCATGGATTCAGTTCTAATTTCTGGAGAATTAGATAAACCCATTACTTTTGTTGTTGATCCATCAGTCTGTATCTGTGTCTACCCTTTTATCCTCAAGCCGTGTTGGGAACCTTTTGAAATATTTTCTGAATCAGACAGTAAACAACAGACAGAGCTGTCAATTACCAACAATATTTTTGTCTGTCTTTCTGTGAGGAGAGCTCTCCAGCTGTATTGTATTTTCTGTGAAATATTTTGTTTTTTGGATTCTGGCTTGTCTTCAGATATAAAAGGGCACATTTTTTACTCTGTAAACCGTATTGATCCATCACTCCTGAAACTATTTAGTGTCTTCTACTGAGAAAACCCTTTTACTTTATAGTGAACAACACTCTTTCTTTTGTTTTTCAGCCAAAATGTTCTGAGTGATTCTATGTGGCACGTATTGATTCTTAATTCTCTTTTACTGGGTATCATCCAACTCTGACTTTGTCTTGTCTGTCTTTATGTGACTTTCCTGCCCACAAGGAGAAAGAAAATCACACAAAACCTATTTAGTATTTGAAAATTACAAGAAAAGTGGAGGGAAGGCTGATTATACACCAGAAACTGGTTGAATAAAGATAACATAAAAGACGTGAAGGAGATATTCTTGATTGCTTTTAATAATGACTGCTATATTTTAGATATCATAACAAATCATCCTCATTTGCATGTGCAACATAGTATCTTACAGTTACAGCTGCACCTCTTGCACTGCTTCACATAGGTATTTGAAAAATATTGTGACATGTATTGTAGTCGCATAACCGGTCCTTCTCATTAACTCAGTGCAGATCTTTGAAAATGAACAGTGTTACCTGCACAAGAAAAAAATAATTGTTTACATTATAAATGTACATAAGAGGAGCATGGAGCTTACACACGCTGTCATTCACTTACGGAAACTAGCAGTAAGGAAAAGGTAGAGCTCTATGTGCACACACAGGTGTAAGGTGAGACACCCTGCAGCCCCTTAATGCAAACACTGCGGCAGGTGGCTCAGGAGGTGTGATGACAGTTTAATCAGTTGAGAAATTGTGTTTTGAGAGGATCAGCCAGTCAGTGAGAGCGACGACAGTCTAATATCTAATAAAGACACTTCATAATCTGCACTTTCTGTGCATCCAGAGCACATTTTCTCAGTTTTCTGTTTGGTTAAAATGCACGACTGCCTCCAAAACTTTACTAGAAGACGAACCATTTTAAACAAGGTTATGAATTCAAATCGCAAAACATTTAGCTAGTCATTTTACAGCATCGGTGGCAAGGTGGTTGTCACTGTTGGCTCACAGCACGAGGGTCCAGAGTTTAATTCCATCAGTGAGTTTCCACATGTTTGTGTGGGTTCTCTCCGGCTTCCTCCCACAGTCCAAAGACGTGCCTCTTGCCCTAAGACAGCTGGGATAGGCTGTATCTCCAACTCTGGGGCTTTTATGCCAAAAGACCTCAAAAATCCTCCAATGTCCAAAATTAGGGTTCAGCTTGCATCTCGGGACAAAACAGCTTCACCTCACCAAAACAAGCCAGGTTCCCCGGGCATTTCATTACCGAATTGGCCTCTGGGAAAGGCAGGCGATGATGACATCATAAAAAACAAACCAGGCTTTATTGAAAAGAGTTTACAAAAAAGTCATGTTTGGCAATGAAAGCGTGAATCAGAGGAGCTGTGTGGTGGAGCGAGATTTAATTTTAGCCAAATAATATGTCTTGTTATTCTCAAATTCCCATCTTTAGATGTGACAAGCTGACTTTGTCTTTGTTCATTTCCCTCAGTGGCAGTCAACATGACCTTGTCTTTGGGTGACAAACTGGACGTCTGACATCTTATTATGCTTGCTTCCTCTGTCACACAAATACAAACACATATACGCACACACTGCAACACACAAAAAGTGCAGTGACAGTAAGTGATATGCCAGACGCTTTCTCATCATGAAGACTTATCATACACCCACATTATGGAGGCAGACATTCCAGGCAGGTGGACATGCACATGCACACACACACCTGTCTAGTGTTGAGGTTGTGTGGACAGTTGATCCCCAGACAGATTAGACTCCAAACTGAAATCTCCTCAGGCCAGCCCTCAAATCATGCACATACACACGCACACAGACACACACACACTGACACATACGCTGTCAGAGCTTTAAAGTCAAAGACTTTCGACTGACAAAAGTGACTTGCCAGGAAAAAAAAAAGTTGAGTAAAGTCTGAAGTCCAACTATTAGAGTTTATAGAAAACTTTTTTTTAAAGACAAATCATTTTTGATCACTGATGCGTTATCTCTAGATAACCACATTTTGGACGTTAGGCATTACTTATGCTTTTTTTTTTTAATTTACAAAAGGTAATGTAGTAATTCTTGTAAATATTAGCATCATAAGTATAATAAATGTTTCTTTTTAATGTTGCACGATCTTGCATTACTGTTCCTGAATTCAGTATTTTATTAGAACATATATAATACTTCATATATGTTCGATTACTTTTATTATCTGCATAGTAGATGCACCTTTTTATGTTTGCTACAGTCTTTTTATCTCACTTTCCAGTGGGAGATGGGACAAAAACTAAATAACACTATACATGGGACATGTGTTACTACTGTCTCTACTCTACACCACAGAATAGTGTCAGAGTTCACAACAACAGCTATGTCAAAGCACTTTCTAGTAAAATAAAGACCCTACAATAGTAAAATAATATTAGAAAGAGAACTCCAAAAATCCTCTGTGAGCAGGTACGTGGAGACTGTGGGGAGGAAGAAATCCCATTTTACAGAAAAGACCTAAATCAAAATCAGGTGGAGTGATGTTTCACAACACAGATCAGGTAAAAATTGTCCTGTTCGAACTATTTAACAATAATGCAAATAAAACTAGACTCCAAACGTTAATCGTGTTGAGGTTACAAATGTACTAAAACCTGAGTCTAATTATCTCTATATGAACCTTTTTCCTATGTCATCATTTTATATTAAATATTTCTGTTGTACCAGTATTATCAGCAACACACTTTTCTTAAGACTACAGAATTATGGCAAGAAAAAAGTCTCCCGCCAACGTTATGTTTAATGATTATTCATACCACCATTACTACAGTACATTCATAATACATGTTCTTCTATGACTTCAGGTTCTCAGCCAAGTCCATTATTACTGCTGAATTTTCAGGTTTCTATGTAGGAGCAATGTACAAGGACAAGCGATTGATGGTTATGATTTGATTTTTTTTCTTATTTTTTACAATTTTCTGCAGTCACACTAGCTTCAATCTGAAATCAGCTAACCTTTGAGTGAAATCTAACTCACTCTACCCTAAGGGGACGCTAACCTGCACTAAAAGAATTTCATTAGAAAAATATTAGCACTGGCCTTCAAACGTTTTCATTGATCTCACTTGACGGACAAGATAAACTATGCTTTCAGATCAATAGTTCTCTCCAACACAGCTGACTGAAGCCTTCACTGAAAGCAACCCAGCATGGACGATTCTCTGTTCTCATATCTCGATCAGATGAAATGTGTTCAGGGCCACTATGTTTGATTTTATAACAGCTGCGGAGTGCTATTTCCAGCACATTTTATTATTTATCCACCATCCTCCATATCGTTTGATCTGAAGGAGGTACCACCCTGACTTCTACATAGACACATTTTAGGAAAGTCCTTGAAAAAAGGCTGCGGTAGTCATTTAAAAGTAAGCTGCTTTTGATTGTTCTGTGAAATTGAGGTTTGGACACTAAGGAGGAAGTGACAAAGTGCGAGCATAGATTCAGCCTGACAATCATTTTTCACTTTGGCCTTTGTTTGTTTCCACTCTATAGATCAGAAAAATGCACTGAAATGTCTTGAACAATGCACAACTTTTAGACATTTGATTATCTTTATTTATCTCTCTTTTCCTCATCTGATAATTGATTCTGAGAATATATTTAAAATATCGTTTCACATAACAAAACCATTTTTGCACATTTTTAGTCAGTTTTTGTGCCCACTTTCTAATTATTTTCTAAAAATGTGTCTTTGCATAGGTTTGACTACCAGGAGCTACTTCATAACTCTACCTTCTGCCTGGTGCCACGGGGCCGGCGTCTTGGATCTTTCCGCTTCCTGGAGGCCTTGCAGGTAAATCAGTCAATTGCGTGTGTATGGATAATGTCTTTAAATATTGTTGATTTGTCCATGTAGTTTTATACAGACTTGTATAAAATATGTCATGAGTCACACCTCCATTCACCAGACGGCTTGAGGTTTAATGCTATTAAGAGGTAAAAGGGTTTACAAATAGAGTGCTGCACAGCTTAGTCTAGCAATCACTTGCCAACTGGTTGGGGAATTGACATTTTTCCCTAGCCTGTATGACTGTTGCGTGGTGGCATTATTTTTTGTATCCAAACTTTAGATCATATTCTCACCTCAGAAAAAAAGATTTCAAACAGTGATGTGTGTGCAATCATTTTGTCAGGTTTAGTCTTGACCTACCACGTCGGTATTTTCTATTGAAATTTTTTACTCTCTACTCTCCACCTGAAAGAGAAATAGATAAGAAATGTTAAAATTATACACACACATATATATATATATGTGTATATATATATGTATATATATATATATGTATATGTATATATATATATGTGTGTGTGTGTGTGTGTGTGTGTGTGTGTGTATATGTACACATATATATATACATACATATATATGTATGTATATATATATGTATGTGTATGTATATATACATATATATAGGGTTAGGATGATGAGTTACCTAAAATTATCTAAAAATCTGTCACCAAAATAAAAACAATTCATATCCCTGTTCATGGACAAATAGTTGGTATCTTATGACTACAGGGAGTGCAGAATTCTTAGGCAAGTTGTATTTTTGAGGAATAATTTTATTATTGAACAACAACCATGTTCTCAATGAACCCAAAAAACTCATTAATATCAAAGCTGAATGTTTTTGGAAGTAGTTTTTAGTTTGTTTTTAGTTTTAGCTATTTTAGGGGGATATCTGTGTGTGCAGGTGACTATTACTGTGCATAATTATTAGGCAACTTAACAAAAAACAAATATATACCCATTTCAATTATTTATTTTTACCAGTGAAACCAATATAACATCTCCACATTCACAAATATACATTTCTGACATTCAAAAACAAAACAAAAACAAATCAGCGACCAATATAGCCACCTTTCTTTGCAAGGACACTCAAAAGCCTGCCATCCATGGATTCTGTCAGTGTTTTGATCTGTTCACCATCAACATTGCGTGCAGCAGCAACCACAGCCCTCCCAGACACTGTTCAGAGAGGTGTACTGTTGTCCCTCCTTGTAAATCTCACATTTGATGATGGACCACAGGTTCTCAATGGGGTTCAGATCAGGTGAACAAGGAGGCCATGTCATTAGTTTTTCTTCTTTTATACCCTTTCTTGCCAGCCACGCTGTGGAGTACTTGGACGCGTGTGATGGAGCATTGTCCTGCATGAAAATCATGTTTTTCTTGAAGGATGCAGACTTCTTCCTGTACCACTGCTTGAAGAAGGTGTCTTCCAGAAACTGGCAGTAGGACTGGGAGTTGAGCTTGACTCCATCCTCAACCCGAAAAGGCCCCACAAGCTCATCTTTGATGATACCAGCCCAAACCAGTACTCCACCTCCCCCTTGCTGGCGTCTGAGTCGGACTGGAGCTCTCTGCCCTTTACCAATCCAGCCACGGGCCCATCCATCTGGCCCATCAAGACTCACTCTCATTTCATCAGTCCATAAAACCTTAGAAAAACCAGTCTTGAGATATTTCTTGGCCCAGTCTTGACGTTTCAGCTTGTGTGTCTTGTTCAGTGGTGGTCGTCTTTCAGCCTTTCTTACCTTGGCCATGTCTCTGAGTATTGCACACCTTGTGCTTTTGGGCACTCCAGTGATGTTGCAGCTCTGAAATATGGCCAAACTGGTGGCAAGTGGCATCTTGGCAGCTGCACGCTTGACTTTTCTCAGTTCATGGGCAGTTATTTTGCGCCTTGGTTTTTCCACACACTTCTTGCGACCCTGTTGACTATTTTGAATGAAACGCTTGATTGTTCGATGATCACGCTTCAGAAGCTTTGCAATTTTGAGACTGCTGCATCCCTCTGCAAGATATCTCACTATTTTTGACTTTTCTGAGCCTGTCAAGTCCTTCTTTTGACCCATTTTGCCAAAGGAAAGGAAGTTGCCTAATAATTATGCACACCTGATATAGGGTGTTGATGTCATTAGACCACATCCCTTCTCATTACAGAGATGCACATCACCTAATATGCTTAATTGGTAGTAGGCTTTCGAGCCTATACAGCTTGGAGTAAGACAACATGCATGAAGAGGATGATGTGGACAAAATACTCATTTACCTAATAATTCTGCACTCCCTGTATTTCATGTTTCGCATGAGGGCACATTTTCTGTTGTATGAAAAAAACGAGAAAGTGGCAAAATCATATGAGATGTCTCACAAATAATATGGGAAACAAACATCTTAAAAGAAATTGGGATTTTTTTCCTTTGTTTTTTCTAGTTGTTTATACATAACATATTATGCTGTATGTTTTAATAATGGTAACTTAAACAAAAAGAAATCATGAAGAAGAAGTCCTCTTTGGATCCTGGGCTGCTGTCAGAGTCCTAAGAGAAAATATTGGATGCTTCCCAATAAAAAAGGTTTAATATCTTTAAAAAAAAAGAAAAAGAAAATGTGTTTGTTTTAATATTTATTGTCTAAAACACCCAGATTTTTAATTAAATTAAATAATTTTCTTCTGGTCATTTCCTTTTTCAGAGAAAATAGACCCAAGCACGCGTGCTCATCATTCTAAAGTTTTCTCAGAATTACCGGTAAAGGCTTGTCAGTCAGGCTGTAAGGCTTCAGCTCAGAAACTTGACTAATCAAACAGTTCCGTGTCCTCCTCCTACAGCACAGCATCTTATTACTATTGGCAATCTGTCATTTCACTGACACGAAAAGCCTCTTTCTGTTGATACACCGCAGAGAAGCAAGAAAGGGACATTCACACTCATCCTCAGACCGCAGACGTTTTCATCTTGCATTAGCACGTTGTCGTAATGTTGTTTTGACATTAAGTATCTGGCTCTGCCTTGTGGTTGCCCTTGGCAGTCTTGTTTTCCTTGTTCTTCTTTGTTTATTTTATGCTTCTGATTATGCATTCTGTTGTAGACAGAATACACATTTACATGCAGACATAAATGGGCGGTGCATGCTAACCTCAGGAGTTTTTTAGAACTGTCACTCTAAAAACCTTTATGGTGTTTCTGTTTTCCTAGAACATTTTAGACGTTTGACTAGGACTAGGTTGCACAAGCCTAGACACTATAGAGGCATAAATCGATACAGCACAGTGATACAGCAAGCTAATGGCTCGGTCACACTAGTAAAAATATGGCAAGAAACTACTGTATTGTTACAAAAGATTGTATTCAATCGAGCAGCAACTTTTGGTGACCAAATGGTTGCCCAGAACCTGATGATGTTGCACATTCACAATAACTTGACAATAAGGTGATTGAAGATGTTGCCTGATAGGAGGTAATGTTTCTGCAAACAGCCACAGTCTGACTTGGACTAATTGCAGTCATGCTCAGAGAGATTGCTGAAGGTGTGCAAATAATTGCTGTCTAATTTATAAATGAAGACAGATTGCTAACATGTTGCCATCAGTCTAAAGGAGTCTTTGTCAGGAATGAACTACAGAAGACTCAACTGGCTGCCAGCTGGTTGTAATTTTATAGAACAGAAAGCGTGCTAAGCAGAAATGTAAAAAATAAATGAGAACTTTTGATAATAGGAATTTCTGTTTATGTAGGCAGCAACAAATATGTGATTTTTGACAATTTATCAGAGGTAATTCATATATTATCAGAAACAGACTTCAAATTGCCAACTTGAGTAGTTAAAAAATAAATAAAATGCAGTGTATGTTATTGCAATGATCAGCATATCGCAAAATGTAAAAAGCTACAATAATATTGTATCAGAGCTGAAAATGAATTTTATTTATGCAGTGCCAAAATATTGAAATATTGTAACAATATCATATCGTAGGCTGGCTAGAGATTCCCATTTCTATTATACAACACAGACACTAGTTGACGACCCGCTGGCAACCTCCAGTCACTAAGGAAAAATGTGCATTGCTGGGGGTTGATGGTTGTGAAGTCAGTCACAAAGAATGTACTGTGTTTAAAACCCTCAATATTTGCTTTAATTGCTGTCAGCTTCAATAGTTTGCACGAAAAATGCTGACTGTAAACACTCACTAATTAAGTTGTAACTTGAGAAACTTGAGAAAGCACAAAACAAACCAAAAACTGTTTTCCCTTAGACCAAAGGTTTGTGTGAAAACAGCACATTTCAGAGGTTCAAAAATGTTTCCTTTGAAGATGAACTTTACACAATTCCAGTTTGTGTTGAACTCTTCACTATTTCACTAATGCTTAACATATATTTTGTAAAAGTTTGCAGATTTTAAGGTATACATACATATTTTAATTGTGAGCAAAGTATTTTAAACTATAAATGTTAGTAATTAAAACACATTTATATGTCTGCTTCTAGAAGGGTGCACATAAGACAAATAAGACAAACACAACTGACTTCTCTGTTGCTGATTTCTGGTACCATACATTTCACAGTTTTTAACCAAAAGCAACGGGCAAATCAAGGCTGAATTTTACAGTATCAAAGCTAGCAGGTTTAGCTGAAAGAAGAAGTGTCTAAAAAATGTTCTCATTGCTTTTATTTAAACTTTCATTTAAATGCATCTCAATTATTTTAATGGCCTTTTCAGCATGTCCGATGTGTTTGCTAGAGGTGAGAAAATAAACCTCTGCAGTGGTTTAATAATCATCAAAATTCAGAGGACAGTAGAGGAGAGGACGGACAAAGAGAGAGACATGTAAGAGGATGACAGTGGGGAAAAAAGACAAGATGAGAAAAGAGAACGTCATCTCACAAAGCCAGACTAATCAAAGCAGTGAGAATTTGCATCGACGGGTCACCCGTAATGCACTCGGCATTTTGTGAATCTCCTTTAATCTCTCGGTTTCACTTGATTGAGAATCCAGTCAAACTTGAACTTTAAATGAAAATACCAAACATACTGAAATTTGTTCGTTCTTTGCAGACACTGCGCCGCTACTTAACAACCACACATGAAGAATTCATTTGCAAAAAACACATTTGTTCATTTTTGGAAATTTTCATCAGTGAAACTGCAGTTGGCCTTTTTGATTTAGTAAAAATAACTCACCAACATAGAGGTAACTTACCAAATTACAAAATGTTTCTATTCAAAAGTGTTCCATTTAAAGTCATGAGAAAATTTTTTTATTTCTTCTAAGTGAAATGAAACAGTTCTAAAAACTGCAATATAAAATTAAAGCTGTACTGTCACTAGTCGGTGTCCTATAGTACTAGACACAGCAACCTCAGTCTTTGACAGAGTGGGAGGAATCAGCCTGCAGTCCCATCTCTAAGTATATTGTTTGGTTGTGATGCCCTCTTTGTTGTACACTAGTGAAAGAAATGGCTGAACTTACTTGAAGAACTTGATATGAGCGATCTCAGAAGGTTTCTGTCCATTAAAAAACAAGAAAAAAGTTCCTGGTACACCAGAGAAGGAATATATTCAAGCAGTGTGCTTAAGTGCTGCATGTCAGATGTGCATAGATGACAAGCATTTGCTAAAGAAATTATTTGAGAGAAGACAAGCACTCCCGTGGTGGACAAGACAAGCACATTAAAGAGACACTAAATTCCTCCTTTGCTGCTGTGATTTCCAGGAATCATAGAGCTACAGCATGATTCCTGGAAGGATGTCACACGGGACAGCTCCGCTGAGTGTACATTGATCAACTCTGGCATGGTCGTCTACAGAGTGAATCATGTGGAGGGGCAACAGTTGGCCTGAGCAGCCGCTCTTTGCACACACATCATGTATTGGCAAGCACGATTTTGGACTAGGAGAGGAAGCTGTAGTACCTCGAGAAAAACCTACACAGGCACAGACACCAAACAAAAAGATTAAGATCAGGAACCTTCTTGCTGTTAGGCAACAGTGCTAAACATCGCCTTATACCTGACTACTTTTCGAGGAATTTGTTTTTAGCTTGTTAAGCCCCTTAACAAGCAAAAACATGCTTAAAGCGTTAAAACAGGCAGCTAAGCAGGTTTGGTCTAAACATAACAGACAACTTAGCAAAGAACTCGTTTTAAATTGTATCGTTAGGCCTTTTTATACTAGCAAGAAAAAGAAAATAAAAACAGAAAAGATCTGATGCAGGACCCGAGAGATGCATCCAGCCCTTCAGTTGGTCCATCTACTCTACATATCAGTGACAAAAAGTATTCAGAGTAATTGAAATGTGAAATTTGTGGTTCAAATCATCAGGGAGCAGGTAAAGCAGTGTCTACAGCTATCTATAAAATGTGCTGGAGGCTCTGCATTTCAGCCACTGGTGTTGGGGATCATGCTAAAATTAATGAAATTATGATGACAAAAAAGTATGTCTGGAAACAGTGATCCCAAGCATACCTGAATAGGAAAACGCACAATACCATGTATTTTCAGTCATGGATCGGCGTCTAAAGAGCCTAGACCTGCTTTCTAGAACTGCTTTCTAACATGTGAAGCAAAGTTGTTCAAGCTGTTATAATAATCTTAGCAGAGAATATAATAAAACAACACCACAAGCCTTTAAATGATGCATAAAATATGTGAAATGAAACAAATTAGCCAGAAAATAGAGTATCTTCCATTTAAACACAGTTTAATAGTGCAGAGGAGTGCACAATCAACTCTCATCGATTAAACACGAACGATGAACCGTTTTGAGAATGACTAAAAAAAAAAAAAAAAAAAAAAAAATGACAAAGGATGAACTGAAGCTCTGCCATCACGTAATGTCGCATACTGCTGTTTCTGATGTCATTTAGAAAAAAAAAAAAAAAAAAAAAAAAAAGAGAATGACTAACTGCTCCAGCGAACGTCATGGGAGGTCCTTCGTTTCATCTAGTTGTAAAATTTATTTTCTTTCTGCTGAAGTTGTATAATTTTACAACTTCCACAATTTTGAACAACTGTTACAAAGCAATTTCCCTTTGGGGATTAATAAAGTTATTCTTATTCATAAAATGAATTTAGAGCAACGCACAGAGCTCCTGTGGGAAATGAAATCAGCTCCCTATGAATCAAGTCACACAAATGAACCCTCTAAATATTGAGGCATACAGCAAAAATAAATAAATACAGTTTATTTTGTCCTTAATCTTTTTGGCAACTCCATTTGTTTCTGAAAGACTTATTTGGAACCTGTTGAAAGTGTCTCATTAAAGGGAAGCTACCGAAGAAGATAAATGCCTTACAAAAAAAAGACCAAAAGCTGATCCATCCCAGTGCTCTACTTTAAAATTCTGCTTACACTTTATGCATCACTGTGATTTTTCTCCTTCACTTTATCTACTAAATCTTGTAAACAGTTTCAAGTTAATGTTTTCTTTAGCCTTTATTTAACCTATTTCTTATAGGGAGGACAGCCCTGCTGAGGTGAACAACTGGACAAGTTCACAATCACACCCAAAAACTTTAATGTGAATTAATGTTACACCCCCTGTTTGCTCAGCTGATATCTTTCTACAAATCCAATTTGCAAATGTGTGTGAGAGTGTGTTATTTAAGCTACGCTAGGAGTCCCATGGTTGCCCACAAAGTTAACAACAGTAAATTTCTGACATATTTTCCACTTCAGCTCAAAATAGAATGGCCTCTGCTTGTAGTGCCTCTTTCTTCATGTTTGTTTTTAATTTTTCATTTGTATTTCCTCACAGGCTGCATGTATTCCAGTTATTCTAAGTAATGGCTGGGAGCTTCCCTTCTCTGAAGTAATTGACTGGAGGAAAGCCGCCATCATTGGCGATGAGAGGCTGCTATTACAGGTACTGTAAAACACTGGAAAATTAAATGATGGGGAAATGAAATTAGATCTTCAGCAGATGTATGAGTTTTCCAGCAATAGTATGAACAGATGCAGAAGAAAAAAATTATACATATTATATATATATATAATTTTTTTTTACATATAAATATGTAAATGGCTCAAAGTTAGCAAAGGCCACCACCATGTAACCTGGATAAAGAGGACAAACTTTCCTTGCACTTTACACCAACAAAAGATAAACGGTGCCCTTTCAGCACCGGCTAATTCAGTGTCTGGATGGTGAAATGCCACCATCTTCCCAGTTATAATTGTCCTCTCTGGCTTAGAATCCCCATGGGAACCCATAAGAATCCAGCTGGGGCTGATTCAAACTTCAAGCACAATGCATAGATCAGAAATGCGTGGAAACAGATTTGTGGCCCTGAAGCATGAATAGGCTGACTTTGCCAAACAAAGCTGCCATATGAGTTTAATCAGCTTGATTTCAGTTTAGGCACTTTTATGCAAATCATGTATTCAGTTTGAGAAGCCTGGAAGAAACTGACAAAATGTGTAATATTTCCTCAACACACTCCTGCCTCTCTGAAAGGCTTACCTGCAAGTGGGCACGCAGTCATGTCAAAAACTAAATAGATCCTAAGTATGCACTTAATATTCCTCAAAGATCAAGTGTTTGTTTGTGATACTGTTTATCAAATAGCCTTTTTAATGACTTGCTATCTGTGGCTTGTAGAATAGATTTTAGGATTTTATTGCTTATTTTAAAGCCTTAAACTGACTTATTCTTGCCTGCATCTGCAGCCTCCTACAATCCCATACCAGTGGCCTACTAATGTGTATTCATTAAGAACTTGTTAGCAAAGGTAACCTGCTATTGCTTCCTGCTCCGACAGCTGTGGAAGGTCCTGCCTCTGAGGGGCCTCTGATTTATCCCTTCTTTACACTAAACTTCATGGAAAAAGCTTTTTTCTCATTGAGTATATTTTCTCTAAATTATTTCAAATGGCTATCATTTCGCTCACAATTCACAGGCATGGATGACATAAAGTATAAAGCGAAATGCTGTAATTTTAAATGAATTTAATTTGACTGTGAGCTTTTGAATATAAAACCAAAGCTCTATCCATTTTCCTAGTAACTAATCCAATTAGGTTCACACAGAGGCTGGAGCCGGTAAATGTGGCAACACCCTGAACACATTGTGCTTTTTACACCTACAGCTCATTTAGGATCTGCAGTTGACCTGCTGTAAGTATGCCAATATATACTGTGGACTGTGGAAGAAAGCCATCAAAAACCAAGAGAAGCGCAAGGAGAATGTGCAAGCTCCACACAGGACTGATCAGCCAGTTTAAACCCCAAAACGTCTTGCTATGAGATCTCAGTGCTAACCACTGTGCCATCATGCCGCCTCCATGATAGTGCAGTGAATCATTTTTGCTTCAGAGACTTTTTCCAGAGAAGTCCAAATAGAAATATAATGTGGAAATATAGCATCTGGCACTTGGTGTCTGTGTAATCAAATGGTGATTGTTAGGTTATGGATGAGAAAAAGTGTTGATAAAAGTGTGACCTGTCAGCACATCATCGATATGTACCAAATTTAAAAATCTCATTGCAATCATGTGGCTTTTTTAAAATCATATGCTTTATGACAGCAGTGACATGCACAGACACTCACACCTACGCTCTGAACTATTTTTATCTAAAATAGATGATTCGACAATTGGATCACCTTCTGTTCTCTTTCATTACAGCGGTGGGTAGAGCTTGTGATATTTACTTACTGTAATAACTCTGTGTTACCATGTGTTGCCTCAGTGACCTGTACCACCACCTGGACAGCAAGTCCAGAAGTAAGCATGTGTAGGCTTTTTGCTTTTAATTAGTGTGTTTGTGGTTTTTCTATGTGAAACACACAATAGCAGACAGGCCATCTTAAAAAAACGTGGCTTTTAGATAAAACATACCAGGCTTTTTTCCTTATTAAGCATTACTGAGACTCACAATAGTGCACTAATCTTGTCAGAGGTTTTGTTATTTGGTTTATTTGCTTAAAATAAAACCATCATGCAAAGGCGTGCTAATTGTTGGTTAAGATAATGTGTGAAGTGAGAGATTTGTTTTGACATAGCCTCCGACACTGAGGGTGTTCACATTCATTACTGATCCAAACAAAGCAAACATTTTTCGATTAATTTCCCTTGCTTTAATGCAGACATGTGAGGAAATGACAGGGGCAGGTATAAACACAGCTAATTTCCAAGGCTTTCAGGATAATAGATGAAATGCATGAGTGATGAACCACAGTGGCATATAAAGGGACTGTCACATACATGTCACTTCAGAACAAGCATCATGCAACCTGAGGCACATTTTAACATTTCAAACTGGGGAAGGTTGGGTTGTTTCTCTTCATTGTTCACCAAATCGGTGGTTCTTGTTGTTTTGCTGCCACGCTAAGCACAGAATCAAAGGTAGGAAGGGAAGAGACTGAATCAGTGACCATAAGACATACATAAGACATTTAATACTTGGATGCAGTAAGTGCCTTCCCAAAGTGTTTTCTTCATTTGTACTGCCTCCACCATGTTTGACAAATGATGTTTGCTTCAGATCCTGAGCCGTTCCTCTCATTTTTCATATTTTTCTCTTCTCATGATTCTGATACAAGTAAACCTTGGTTTCATCTATCTAATGATTATTTATTTATTTGTTGGTAAATCTAATGTGGTCCTTTTCAATTCTTGTTATCAGATTTTTGCACTTTGTTGTAAACCATCTCTTTACAAGGCATCTCTTGTTTGTAGACCTTTACAATTATCAACCTTTTTTCTTTCAAACTATTCTGTCATCATGCACTTTAGTTGTTTTCTGTGAGCTTGCGGGCCTTTTGGTGTCGCTGAGCTTCACTGCATTCATTCTTCTTAAGAATGTCATAGATGGTCGACTGAACCAATCTTACATATTTTGCAATCTCTCTTATAGGTTTATTTTGAGATGAGATGAGATAGGCTTTATTTGTCAGTTGCAGGTCTTTTGCCCACAACCGAGATGACAGACCTTGCCGACCGTACATACAATACAAACATCACATTGGGGAGACAGGTCAAGCTAGGTAGCGAGGAAAAAAAACATCGAAATGTGTAATACAGAAGGATAATACAGGAATGCACAGATATCAACACACCATAGCACAATAAACACAGACAAGCAACATGGGAAAGAGTTCCAGTGTGTACATCTGATCTGGTACCGCTGCAATCTTCGACTGCGCCTCCAACTGACCCGATGTCCACATCAGAGGCAAGGCTGGACTGGGACAAAAAATCGGCCTGGGCATTTTTACTAGAGACCGGCCCACCAGGATAAAGATTGAAAATGTGACGTCATTCAGGGGTAAAACCGCAAAAGATTCTGGGAACTTGTGGCAAGAGGTACTAGCGCACGCAGGCTTTCAATTGAACTCAGTTACACAGCGATAAAAAGAAACCCAAAAAATGGCAAGAAGCTGTTGTATTATTAACTGCAATAGCCGGTCGCATGACAGCCACGGGAAGCCGACGGGCAAAGAGATCGTTTTTTATCGGATTACGTCGTTGAAGAGAAAATTTTTAAGCCATGTTTCCGAAGTAAGAGCCCACGGATGGTCTGGATATACCAAATTCTGAGACGTTTAATAATAATAAACGTCTCAGAACACTCCAGCTCACATGTTAGTCTTCTCCAAGCATTTCCACAAAGGTCAGTCTTCTGTTGTAGTTAATACGTCATTTTTCTTAACATAATTGGTGATATAGGTTACAAGCAAGTCTGGCGCTGAACAGAAATTGTCGCGCTATGCTCCTTTGTTTATTGTGCATAAATAGTGAATTGTCCTGACACAATATTGCGTTTCGCTTCTGTTATCACCATGGTACATTGACAAAAACATATACTTTTATTCACAGGATAAAACAGTTGTTTTGTATCACTAAATGTCCAGTGCGATTGCAACATACAATATTATTGTCACTGCTACATTTCTGTAATGCTACCAAAAATTATTTCCACTACTAATTAATTACCGTTGAGCTCAAAGGTTATATTAATAAACGGTTAACGAATGTGTATTTATGGAGACGATTTGTGAGACTGGTACACTTACCTTTGTTCGTACGATGGTCTTTCGTTCTACACGGTGCGTTTCAAGGTCCTGTACCCATCCGTCGGTAAACTGTACCTGGGCTTGTTGCAGTGACCTGAAGTTACTAAACTTCATGAGTGTATGCACTCACTCCAAGAAGCGTATAATTATAAATCTGAGCGTGGTGAAAGTTGGGCAGCACGCTGACGTCTTTTGTCCCTCTGTGTGCTCGTAAGGGTCTGACACTTTCACTCCTTTGTTTTTTCCTCGTATCTTTTCTTTGTCTTTTCGTCGAGTCTGTCTTTGTACGGACCGGCATTGTTTTCCTTTTGTTTTGTACATTCCTTTTTTGTGCGCCAAAGAAAAAACAAGAAGGTATAGGAACCGGAGAATGAACGTTTTGCGGTGCTGCAAATGCTTGCATTTGATGCGGTACTTGGATTGTTTTGCCACTAGTTCCCGGCATGCAATGCGCGAAAATCACGTGATTGCTAAACAAGGGGGCGGGTGCATCCAGCCTCCTCGGCTGTAATTGGTCCAGCCCAGAGTCGATCATGACCAATTGGCCAATCCAACACCTTTCATTATATATATATACCCTTCCTAAAAAAATTAATAAATCCATCGGCCCATAAAAACAAAAAATCGCCAGCGGCCCACCGGGCAAATGCCCGGTATGCCCGATGGCCAGTCCAGCTATGATCAGAGGGGAGGTAAGCGTTGGAGGTGGCGTTGGATCCGGGGTAGGGAGGGTGATGCGTCAGTATCAGTATATGTATGTGTGTGCGTGTCCATAGTTCAGCTGAGACAGTGTCCTTCGCCCTGCCAGGCTAAGTAAACAGTCTTTCAGCCAACCCAGGTGGCCTTGCATG